TCTATTCGTAAAAGGGACGTTGTTGCTTCGACGATGGCCTACGGACCGTGACTACTGACTTCGATTGAAAAGTTCCATTCAGATAAGACGGCGCCCTCTCGTGCCAATCCGCCTATCTGACTTGTCATCTGACTTGTTTTATGTTTGTTGCTGAGGGCGGACTAACGCAATCAGCTGGGACAACAGCGATCATGGCGGAGGTCGGACAAGAAGGGACTAGTGACGATTTCTCTGTTTTCGTCGAAGTGAAAGAGAAAATTCATGCTGCACATATCGTACTAGGCTTACAGGACGTCGCTGAAAAATGCAAAGAGTAAGTAAAGACGTTTTTACAAATAATTATTTCGTTAAGTTCCTTCGACCTCCTCGTGTTGTGAATGATGAGTCCCCAGCCTGACCGGCGAATCTTCAAGTTGTTATCATTACCAAGTAACTGTGGTTGGTAAAATCGTTACTATAGATTCTGGATGATTTCATCTGGCTTTTATCTTTAGTTTTATGTGTAGTGCCGTTTCGTCAACCGTTTCTGCGCGATGTCAATACCTCCAGCGAGACGTTGTATCCATGACAGCGGTTACCGTTATGCCCAGTGTGAACGAACACCTCTTTGTTTTATCAAGCTGTGTAACCTTCGTAATATCATAGATATATCGTTTTTTGCAACGTATATGTAAAATATACCAATCGTTTTTTTCCTCCGATTAGTTTATTGCACATGTGTATTTAATCTCTAACTTACGCCGATTTCCAGTTTGTCGCGTTGCTATGGCAAATAGATAGTCTGGTCCCTGGATGAGTCAGCAATTCACAACTGTTGACACTGTGTCATCACGTGACTATCATATGTTGTCCTAAGTAATCTATGTATGTACTTTACTTCAAGCGTATGTGTAAACGACCAAAATAAAGAAATTCTGTGTTTGGTCTCACCATGGTCTCACCACAAAATTCTAAAGACATAAACTAACGGTCAAAATAAAAAAAAATTCTGTGTTTGGCCTCGCCACTAAATTCTAAAGAGATAATCTAAAGAGGTCGACACAAGACTTGTGAAAAAAACAGACTCATCATGCAGTTTTCTTTTTTATTTAAAATTGTTGTTAAGGATTAAGTTGATACATGCTTCAGGCTTCGGCCAAACTGTGTGAATCAGCTGATGATGTGGTGGCCATAAATCAACATTTGCATTCTAATTCTATTGATTGATTGATTTGTTTCTATCACATTCATTGTTGTGTTCTCTGCAGTTTGTACTTGCATTTGAGTGTACTTGAAAATATTCTGTTGATTTTTGTTTATCCATTCAGTACCGGTATCTTCCAAAATATATGCATACTCAAAGCAGTACATTTATCAGTGTGGCCTTATCAATTACATATATAGATTTTCAATGATATTCAGAACAATGTGGGAAATAAGATTTTACTCCCATTGCTGTAACTGGACCGAAAATACATAATATCATGTGTGATGCACTTAAAAATAAGTCCTTCAAAAATACTTGAATTAGAGTTAATTCAGTTTGTCTACTATTGTCATCTGAAGAAATCTAACAGCAGGAACACATTATCATTTTTTTTTCATAAACTTTTAAAATGAACAGTTAAATTGCACGTTTGTTGTATAATAGATGGTGCACAACATTTCATAAACTTTTAAAATGAACAGTTAAATTGCACGTTTGTTGTATAATAGATGGTGCACAACATTTCATAAACTTTTAAAATGAACAGTTAAATTGCACGTTTGTTGTATAATAGATGGTGCACAACATTTCATAAACTTTTAAAATGAACAGTTAAATTGCACGTTTGTTGTATAATAGATGGTGCACAACATTTCATAAACTTTTAAAATGAACAGTTAAATTGCACATTTGTTGTATAATAGATGGTGCACAACATTTCATAAACTTTTTAAATGAACAGTTAAATTGCACGTTTGTTGTATAATAGATGGTGCACAACATTTCATCGAAAACAATTAATTAAATTGTTATGATTAATTAACCTGTAAAAGGCTGTGTGTTTCTAATCTCTGAAAATCATTTCTTCAATTAGCACCACATTAGATTTTAATAATAGTAATTTTGACTTTCAACATTATGGTCATTTTATAAAATAGATTTTTGATAAAACGATAGTTTAACATTGCACTATTCTACAGTCCTGATGCCATTGTAGTACTGGGACATTTGTACAGACTGCTACATCAAAACTACTGTAAAATGACTAATTTTCACTGGGTTTAAATTTCACTGATTTACCATTTCAGGAATATTCAGTGGGTTTTAAATTCACGGTTTTATCATTTAGATAATAACTGGGTTTTAATTTGGCGCATTTTCCAGTCAGCGAAATAAGCAAAATTAAAACCCAGTGAATAATTAACCCTTTTACAGTAATCTGTCAGTTGCAAGGGCTAGGGTACTTTTAGCACTGCTTTTTCTTTATGCTTGAGGCATAGGTCATTGCTGCAGTGTGATATATCACATGTTGGTTATATCACTAGAATATGATTAAATAATGAGTACAATGTCAAGATTGAAAGAGTGAGGCTGGAAAATGTATTAAAATGGTAATAAACCATTTGTTAGGGGATACCACTCGATATACAATGTACCTGGAGACCCTAAATGATATACCCAGTACCTAAGCTTCCTCCGTCTGTTTCTCCACCTCGTTACTTTCGATAACGAAGTGGAAACAAACAGATAGAGAAATTAAGCTAGGGTACACTTGCTATGCTCAGAACTACTTCATATGCAAACTAATTAACATTTCTGTGCCATATTGCACAGTATACCAAGACATGCTTATTTATGATGATATCCCCTGGTAGTATCAATTCAGTTTATTATTATTGTTCATAGAGATGCATCCAAGATCACTGTAACTGTACAACCAGACAGCATTGAAGTTAACCTAGTAAAAGATAAAAAGCGACAATTCAAGGTTCCGAACATCAGTCTTGTTCCGAACTCCTGTCACAGCTTGCAATGGATTCCGGGGGAAGGACTACATATGCGGGTACAGACTCGGAGTGATGATACTAATCACAGCCAACCCATTGAACACAATGATGTGAAAAACTACCGCCATGAAATAGAATACCTCGAAAGCGAAAACTGCCAGTTGAGTTGTCGGGTATGCAATACTACCTTACTACGCCCAAACTGGTAAGTCTATTATTTGCTAGGTTCTGTGTAACAACTGGATTCATGACCATACTCTCAATTTAAGCAATATTCCAAAAAAAAAGATCAGGGGGTTTCTACCTTCAATAGAAATACTATTTTAAAGTATCTACATGCTATTTTAGCAAATTTTGCATAAATTTGTTGATTTTTAATGTAGCTAATGATAATATCATTGTAAAAATAGACATTGTTTAAATTAACTACATCTTGAATTCACAAGTTGTCAGATTTAGCTTAAAAAAAGCTAAAATAACATTCATTCTAAAAAGAAGTTTTGAAGTTTGATATAATATATGATATGTTTAGTGAGCGGCTCCTAACTCTTTTTTAATGAACAAAAGAAACTTTATTAAATTTTTATCACCATTCTACCAAGTCTTTTATAGTAATTTTTGTAACTGAAAAAATCCAAAACAATATTTGTTGTGTTGCATGTGATTTAATTCCACTTCAACTATTAATTATGTGTTGCTTGTCTACAGGGAAAAAAAGTGAAGAGCCAAATAAATAAAATGTTTTTTCACTGATATACGCCAAATTGAAAAAAAAATAAAAAACAATTATTTTTACTAATATCAACAACAAAAATTAAGTACCATGTGAATAAAAAAAAATGTATTTTCACTATTATAAACAAAACAGTATAGCACCAAATGAAAACACCAAGTGACAAAATTTTAAATAATGCAAACTTTAAATTGGTGTTGAAGAAACTTCCTGACTTATTACAGAAAACCTCATGTTGCATCAAAATCAGGACTTTCTTTCTGTATTACGCAAATTGTCTGTTTATATCCATTGACAAATATGTTTTGTTTCCAGCCAATTTGAAAGGGTTCTTCCACTGCCTTCAGAAAACTGGCAAGAACTGGTAGATGACTGGTGTTGCCATCACAACGATACTACTGAAAAGATGAAGAAGGCTTCCATGGTTCCCAGAGCAACAGACTGTTTCATCTCTGATCTCTATCTCTCATTGAATATGGCTGCCTTGCGACAGGATAAAATTGCATCTCAGGAAAGTACCCTAGAGACTGAGTTGAAAGAAGTGAGTAGAACTGTAACAATTTATAAGACTAAATAAAATAGATGGTGTGTTATTTCTTTGCTCCACCACCACAATGATATGAAACTCAACAGACCACAATGATACAAAAAAACCCACAACTCTCCGGAAACTGTACTTTGGGTTACCGCTAGCTGTTAAAACTCTCCTGAACAGTGTAAAAAGACTCCCCCTGTTTGTGTAATATATATAAATTTGCCTGTTCAAGATTACTTCAAAGTTGAGTTTGCACTGTTTCCTTGACTTTAGCTGTTTTGACCGGCTCTTTGATCGGCATTTCACTGCAGCTTGTGCAGAGCCCATAGAAATACATGGTACAGAGATGCGTGTCTTAGCAACATAGAACATTCTGTGATGTAGTTCTGCCTCAGAATACATTGACCTTGTGTTCTACAAATAATCATAATCAAACAATTAAAAGTGTGTTTTCTGTTGTCAGGGTATGAATATGGTGATCATCTGTCAGGTCTGCAGATGCCCTCTAGGTGAGGCAAAGTTAACAGGTGAGTGAAACAACAATGTATTTGATAGTGTTATTTTAACTTCATCAATGTTTTGTAAATTGGAAAATTGGTTAATTGAAAGCTGTCAACCAATCAACACATTAAGTGGATGACCTTTTTTAATATTTTCAAATAATTACCCATTAGCCTTTCTGAGTTTCAAATATACATGTGTCTTCATGTAACACAAGTGCCAGGATTTAATATTTAAATTTATTTGAAAACCCAGAAAAAATAAGTATTTAGAAAAAATATGCAGATAGCAGACCTTAACATAGAATGTTATGCATGGAATTTATTTTTCATTTTTTTCCAATGAAAATAAAATCCAGCATTTATACCTTTTTTCCTATATTTTACATTCAACTCATCAAAAATCATTAAAAATAAATTCCATAAAAAAATACCTAAAAAGTCTTTTTTACATAGCATTATATTTACTATGATACGTAAATCAAACTTGCATTTATTGGATACTGAATCATTCAAATACGACATATTTCAAATCAAACTTGCATTAAAAAATCATTCAAATAAGACATATTTTAAATCAAACTTGCATTAAAAAATCATTCAAATAAGACATATTTTAAATCAAACTTGCATTTATTGGATACTGAATCATTCAAATACGACATATTTCAAATCAAACTTGCATTAAAAAATCATTCAAATAAGACATATTTTAAATCAAACTTGCATTAAAAAATCATTCAAATAAGACATTTTAAATCAAACTTGCATTTATTGCATACTGAATCATTCAAATACGACATATTTCAAATCAAACTTGCATTAAAAAATCATTCAAATAAGACATATTTTAAATCAAACTTGCATTTATTGCATACTGAATCATTCAAATATGATATATTTCAAATCAAACTTGCATTTATTGGATACTGAATCATTCAAATATGACATATTTTAAATCAAACTTGCATTTATTGCATACTGAATCATTCAAATAAGACATATTCTAAATCAAACTTGCATTTATTGGATACTGAATCATTCAAATATGACATATTTTAAATCAAACTTGCATTTATTGCATACTGAATCATTCAAATATGACATATTTCAAATCAAACTTGCATTTATTGGATACTGAATCATTCAAATATGACATATTTTAAATCAAACTTGCATTTATTGCATACTGAATCATTCAAATATGACATATTTCAAATCAAACTTGTATTGCATACTGAATCATTCAAATAA